ACAACATATATGGTACTTGCATTGCTTCAGATAAAGAGTTATGCTTGGTTGAAGTCATACGCTGCTAGAATAACTAGCTTTGGATGATGAAAACAGAAATCACAACAATGCCTCCTGGATTCTTTTTATCTGCAAAGTAGTATTTCTGTGGAAATTCTCATCTGGGGTTGTGCCCAGTGTTACTCTTTTTTTTTTTTCTTTTTTTTTTTAAAGTAAGCTCTACTGCCAATGTGGGGCTTGAACTCAGAACCCTGACATCAAGTGTCACATGAGTGTCTTTTGACATCTTTGATACCCCCAAGCTGGAGCTTTGATACTCTATTCACAGGCCTGAAGCTCCAGGAAGAACACAGCATGCTCCTTCTGTCCCAGTTGGGCAGCCTTTCTGAGGAAAACCTAGTATGTTATTTACAGATAACATGATAGAGTGATCAAGGAAAATTGGTGGCTTTTGGTACCCAGAGAGGGGTAGGGATTGTTGAAATGTGACTATTCTTAATCATGAAATTTATTTTCGCTTAGAAAACTGTGAGATGATTTTAGGGAAATGAGCTTGAGGAAAAACTGGGTGAGGGCACCCAAGTTATTTCTATGAGTGCACTTAATGATTCTGGGAAGGAAATAGATTTTAGAGGCAGAAAGGATTGTCTGGCATCATTTATCCCTCTGTTGTTGCAAAAATAAATTAGCAAGTCAACGCCCTGCTATTTATTTCTCCCTAATACACTGATAAACTACTCCCTATCATCAGAACCTAGATTCATCCATTGTAAGGATTGTATTCAACCTGATTATTTATTGAGGCTTTTGTGAGAATAAGCAAAGCCTGCCTTCCTAGTAGGTAGCAAGAGTTAATCCTACCTGCTGTGTTTCTTTTTTCTAATAGGAGCACTTTAGCAATGCTAATCAGTTGTACTGATTTTCTGTTTTGATTTTTCCATAATAATTAAGTGAATGATATGAAATGCAATCAAGTTTGGCACTAGGGGGTTCATGCAAATGACTCTCTCTTTTTTTTTTTTACATTTTAAATTTTGTTAAATGGAACCATAAGGAAAGTTATTTGAAGATGAAGACTGAGTGGGTGGGGGGTAGCAGAACTCTTAATTTAGAGTTTTGAATATTTTCCAAATGTCTGTTTTAATGAAGCAAATCACCACTGTGTTACTTTTTTTCCAATTGAAATAATTCTATTTTTTAAAGATTGTGTTTTGTTTTCATATGTGCTCCAAAGTGGAAGATTATAGTGTAAGACAAGATGGCACAGCTTAAAAGAGAGAAATGGGGGGAAAATATGTTGAACTTTCTTCCTTCAGGGTAGATATAAAGGAAAAACTGTACCCGCATTTACTCAGCGAAACCTATAGAAGAATACAAATAAAGCAGGGAAATGGTATATGGAATGTCCTATCTATTTCTTATTTGGGTTTTTTCTCTCAGTGCCTTTTATTCAACAAGACAGAACAAAAGGAAGGAACATCTGTGTTTCTGAATATAATGAAATGTTGTATTTCTATAGTTTCTTGCAGCTCATTGACATGTCTGTGAAATGTCCTTTCCCCACATGGTATATAACATTTGAATTATTTTCTCAAAGGGTTTTAACTTGTTTATGTGAGGTTGCATGATCCCTGCATCTGGATCTAGCAATTCTTTTTGCTTTTGATGTTTTATACTCTAATGCAGGTTATTCTAGAACTCAGTTAATTTTTTGTATTTTAATTTGGAAAATCCTTGGGGAATGAGACCCGCTGATGTATATATACATTTTTTTAAATTTCTTATATTTTCCCTTCTGTAAACACCTCCAGCAGCTTGGCAATGCAGTTAGATTTTTCTGTATGCCAAATTTCAAAAGCAAAGGGGAGGTAACCAAATTTTGCTTTTTTTTTTTCCTGCCATCCACATAGAGAGGTTAAAGCCTTCATAAAGCTTCACGTCAAGTGCAAAGCAAGAAGGGCTACCAAAGATTAACGTTAAAATTTTTACATTAAAGGAAAACACACAGCCTTTTTCTTTTTCTTGGCAGTTTGATTCATTGCTTCCAGCAATTTCTAACTTTACAGACTAAACATTTCTAATTGGAAAATGGATGGTTTGAGTCTAAGATGGTGACTCATGATATAAACTTTCCAATTTGGGGTAATTGTTGGTAAGTAGACGGCAGATTACTGCTGACTAGCACTCGTTTTGTCTTTGAGGAGAGAATGAAAGTTAATATATATATTTCACACTTCCCTGAAACAAAACACTTACCCTGACATAGATAAAGCAATGAGACAGGAGGTATTTGCCATGCTTGTTTGTTACAACTAAGTATATTAGACGTTTGCTTTTTTTGATGAATGAGGAAAACATTAGCAGTGTATTACATGTCTTCAACTGTGAAATGGGGATCATAAAAACACCTTTTTCTTAGGTAAATGACTGTGAGGGTTGGATAGATCATGCACATAAAAGATTCTGCGCCCTGGGCCTGGCCCCCGGGAGCCGGTGGGGAAATTATTGCTTATCATCATCATCATCACTGTTCATCATTCTTGTTAAGTGGAAAAGCTTCTTTGGTTATATAATGTTGAGCTTCAGATTTTACAACTTCATGACAGACACTGATAATTTGAATTAATTTATAAGCCCCATTTTGGCTACCCATTTATGCTTTTTATGTTAGAATATATTTTGTGATGATGGAAACTTCCCTTTTAAAGATTTCACAGCCTCTCATAGTGGCTTATAGTATCTTCTCGTTATCCTACACATTCATGGTATTATTTCCTTATCCTAAATCAAATGTTGTCTTTAGTTTTAGCCTTTGTGCAGGTAGAGACAGGTGACTTGTCACGATATACTTGATACACTTATCCTTATAAACAGCCTTGATTTTGAAGGATTGAATACTTCTTCCCTTGATCTAGTCTCTTGACTTTGAAGGATGAACTATTTCCTAAGGTTAGGTTTTTGCTGGTATTGTTGTTTATTGTTTGTTTGAAGATAAACTTACTCTCCACCTTTTTTTTTTTTTGAAGTAATCTCTACACCCTGCATGGGGCTCGAACTCATGAGCCCAAGATCAAGAGTCCCACACTCCAGGGAGCCTGGGTGGCTCAGTCAGTTGAGTGTCTGACTCTTGGTTTTGGCTCAGCTCATGATCTCAGGGTCTTCAGACTGAGCCCTGAGGCGGCTCCATGCTCAGTGGGGAGTCAGCCTGAGATTCTCTCCTTCTGCCACTTCCCTGACTCATGCCCAGGAGCTCGTGTTCTCTTTCTCTCAAATAAATAAATCAATCTTTTTTTTTTTTTTAATAGGAGTCCCATGCTCCACCAACTGACCAGCCTGGCATCTCAATAAACTTATCTTTTTAAACCACAAGGTCTTTATTCATTAAATTTTGTTCCCATTTGGTTCTGCACTTTGTGGTATAGAAAGTTAGTATAACTTCTCAGAATGCCAGCTTTCACCCGGAAAATAACTGCTTCGGTCACATAATCTGGCCTATTGTTACTAGTTTCCCTAGTTTACCAACAGGCAGGTCAATACCTGTTCTCTTTTTAAGTAGTAAATGGATCAGCTATTTATAGTTCCATGTCCATTTTTGCAATAATTATATAAAATCATTTTATAAGTGTGCCAATTAAACGTTTCCTTCTGACTAAGGGATATGTTCCTGGAGGTGAGGAGCTGGGCGTGAGTTCCAGGTGCAGGCCATGCTGTTATTACACACCCGAGCTGGTGAGTGCCTGGCACATAGTAGGTGTTCAATAAATGCCTGCCGATGACTTCATGTGAGTACCTCCTAGGAACCTCAAACTTGACGTATCTGAACCTGAACTAAAGCTTCTTCCTCCCAGAAGGAGAGGGTGTCTGTGCTTCTCATCTTAGTGAAGGGCACGCCATCTACCCATGGGGCTCTTCCGGAGAGCATTCCTCTCTCTTACTCTCACATTCAGTCACCAAGTTCTACTGATTCCAAGTCCTAAAAGTCTCTCAGATTTGCTCACTTCCCTGCAAGGTCGGCATCATTCACCAGTGAAGTTCTCAGACTTGGCAATGGTGTACAAAACCCTTTGTGCTATGCCCCTGTCTCTTTCTCAGCTGAATTAATTTGAGCTCCCCAAAGTGTGCCTGACCTTCCCTCCCCTCTGGTTCTGCCTGCATGGAACATTCTCTTTCCTCTTGTATCTGCTTTGCGGGCCTCTTTTGCAAATAAGCTGCTGTTTGTTTTTCCGTTGTGTTCATTCTTCCTCTCAAGAACACCAGGTTGGTTTTCTCTAACACCGACCTCTAAACAGCCTTACACCTTTTTCTGTACACCTATGAACAAACCTCTGTAAGATGGCTGGTTTTGTTTCTGTTGAGCAGACAGGGAAACGGAAGCACTAAATATAAGAAATGTATGTCATGATTATTAAATTATAGGCATCTTAATGGCCAGGGACAGAAACCGTGTCTGTATTTGATGTCCAGTTTTTGCACGGTGCCTAGGATAGAGCAGACCTAGCAGACGTTCCATGGCCATTGAGTGAATTATTGAATGAATCTCAGTTTGAACCTGAGGTGCCTCTCTCTTGAGTCAATGGAGCTTCTGTTTCATCGTTTACCCTCCAGGACAAATGAGGCCAGATTCCTCTGTGAGCCCTCTTCTTCCAGAAGGGAAATATGCCTGGTGAGAGAATCTGGAAGTCTGTGTTGCTCTGAGTTGTTCGGGTAGATTCCTTTAATGTCGGCTGGCCTGGATGAGAAGGGCTTTTGTTGTGGTGGCAATTAATGATGATTTGCACATTTTAGTAATTTACAAAATGGTGACCACCCTGCACAACACAAGAAATACCTCTCTCTTGGACCATGAAATCTGGTGACCCGTCTATTTAAACACATGGCTTGTTATGCGTGGTTCAGCCCTACTGACAACTGGTCCCAAATGGTTGTTGTACTGAAAAGAATTCTGTTTGGGTCATTTTAATGCTTCTCTAATTTGGATTTTTGTTTTCTTGTAGGTTGTTCTTCCGAAAAAAATGGTTATCTCTTTGAACTCATGCCTGAGCTTTATCTGTTTCTCGTTATGCCTCTGGAGCAGAACAGCATCATCCCTGAATCTTGAAGACCCTAATGTGTGCAGCCACTGGGAAAGGTAATCATTTTGAGAGTAGTCTGAAAAGTAGTTTCTGATGGTTTTTTTAATATATTATCATTATCAGCTTGATATATAAAATTAGACTTTGAGAAGAGATTATGAAATTACTTTTATGTAGAAACCAGTGGTTATATTAATAAATTAGTACTCTTCACCTTGGTCTTATAGAATATAAAGTGAAAAAACTCTGGTCTATTGATTCTAACACAGGAGCAATCATATCCTGCAGGGAAAATATTACTAGCTCCATTCATATGATCTCCCAAACATCTCCCTGCTCTCAGTCTATTTTGCAGTCATCTGGGGGAGCTGGACTTGTGCATGGGAACCAATGGGTGAGCGGCGAAGGACAATATGGAATAATGTACTGAAGGGTGGCCAAGTATGGTACAAAAAAATTGGGCTGTATGTGGCCTGAAAAGGGCGATGTGATTTCTGGAGGCATTGGAGAAGGTACATGGACATAGTGTCAGCTGAGATGCCCTCAAAGACCTGAATAAGACGAGTGGATAGCAGTGATTGAGTAGAGTTCTAGGCATGGAAGGTGGCTTGAAACCAGTGCCATGCAGACCGCTGAGGGTCTTGAGCAGCAAAACTAGAGTCAGTACGGCCCTGAAGAAGGGCAAGATTGACTAGATTACACCAAAGCAGATGATGTATACAGGTTAGGGCAATGTACAGTAGGAGAAGCAGAGGAAGGGACAACACAACAGGTCATTGTCGGAGAGCTTAGAGTCCTTTTTGGAACACAAAAATAGTACAAACCATCTAGTGCTACAGCGGAATAGTCAAATGTAGTCTACACTACTCTACTGTGCTACTTGCATTTCTACAAAAGCATCTTTAGCTACAAGTCACATTGCGAGCGTCAGCAATGTCACTAGAAGGTGACACCCTTCTAGTCCGCTCAAGCACTCCAGAGTAATGGGTCATTTTGATAACTGTAGGCGCCATTTCATCGAACTCTCCGTCGTTTTTCCCTGTTCTCAGCACCCAGCACCATGAGTAGCACACGACGGGGGACACATCCAGCCACGACTGTCAGCACAGGTCAAAAGGAGCCCAGCTCGAGCCCTTCAGGCACAGCAGCTGTGTTACTGTGGGGGCACCCTGGTCCCTCACTCACAGCATTATTTTTTTCAGTGAGGGCTTCCCCATGTCTATGCGCGGTATTACAATCAGGGTAACAGAAACGTACTGCCCTGGTCAATCCATGGAGTCATGTATCATTAGGAAACTTTAAGCTGTAGAGGAAATATGTGTATGTAATCAAGTTCTATGTATCTGTGTTATTAACTGTATTATATAGAATTAAAGGGGAAGGACCTCCTGTTAATTATCTTTATAATCGTCACAGCACCTCCCATAAACGTTTCAGCTACAAAGCGCATAATAAATATCCATTAAAGCCGTAAAGATGAATCAGTGAATACAAGAATGGGTACATATCACATCGGAAAAAGGGAGAAGCCACTGGTGGTTGAACTTGTGGGAGCATGAGAGCTTTGGAATGGAAGGAAAAAATCAAATTCGTAAGATACTGTGAAATAAGAATCAACACATCTTGGTCATACATGGATTGTAGGATGTGCAGGAGGCAGCGAAGGTGAGATTTAGAACCTGCTCTGTGAAACGTTGGAGGTGTCATTGCACATATGAAAAAGAAAAGGAAGAGAATTGATTTGAGAGGGAAGAGATTAGTGTGGTTACCCCATCGTGTTCCTAAGATCGGTTTGAGAAATGGGCCTGGTAGTGTTTGGGAGCGCGGAATCAGGAGTCTCCAGCATGACGAGACGTGAAGAGGTGAACTCTCTGAGGGAAAGGCTGTAAAGAGAAAAGAAACCAGCCTTCAGGTAACCCAGCACCCTCTCATACATGTACATTTTGTCCTGATTCTTTCCTCATTATTTGATGAAACTTGGCAACACATAATTGCGTGTTTTGTTCGCTATGGATAATTCCCAGGGTCTAAAACCCTGCCTTGCTTAGGGCATGTGCTGGATAAATGACTGTTGATTGAGTACACTCACCTGACAGGAAATGAAATGGCTAAATACGGACATCAGTGAGGGAGCGGGGAGAGCGGACGGAGGGACAGGCACAGGGCACGTTTGTCTCTAAACCTAATGCAGTTCAGCTGCTGCAGAAGTGATGAGAGCAGGGCGCCTGGGTGGCTCAGTGGTTGAGCAACTGCCTCCGGATCCCAGCATCCTGGGATCGAGTCCCGCCTCGGGCTCCCTGCTCAGCGGGAAGCCTGCCTCTTCCTCTCCCACTCTGCCTGCTGGTGTTCCCTCTCTCGCTGTGTGTCTCTCTGTCAAATGTCTTTAAAAAAATAAATAAAACAGGGCGCCTGGGTGGCTCAGTTGGTTAAGCGACTGCCTTCGGCTCAGGTCATGGTCCTGGCGTCCCGGGATCGAGTCCCGTCTTGGGCTCCCTGCTCAGCGGGGGGTCTGCTTCTCCCTCTGGCCCTCTTCTCTCTCTCTCTCTCTTTCTCTCTCTCACAAATAAACTCTTAAAAAAAAAAGAGAAGTGATTAGAGTAACCTCTAAAAGACTTGCTAATGAGGAGGGAAAAGGAGAGCGAAAGAGAAGGAACATGACGGAGAGTTTTTTTCTCCCAACTGTATATTTTTTTTCCCATGGCCTTCTAGAAAGAAGGATTGACAGCCATAATCTTCTTATTGGTACATTCCAAGTTTCAACGCCAGATAATGATTCTTGGAGGAAAGGTAAAAGAAAGTGCAATAGTTGTGACAAGAACAGAGAAAGGAATATAAACTAAAGTGATCCAACAAGGGTGCAGGTGACACGTTCTGTATTTTCAAAACCTGCTTGAATGGAAATGGGGAGAGGAACATGAGTGTCAAGGACAGAATTCCTGGTGGTAAGGCTGAGTAGGGCTCATTGGAGGCTTGCCTTATCTCAACCCCACCTGTACCAAATGGACTCAGCCGGAGCCTTGTGTCTCACAGTGGCAGTCTGTGGGGCTGTGACTTGAGCCCTGGTCTGGGCACCTGCCAGAAATGCAGACTCTCAGGCCCTGCCCCAGGCCTGCTGAATCATTAGTTTTCAAATAAAAGGAGGCCTCATTTTAATGCAGCCATTGTGCTTCTGAGAAGTCATACAGAAAATAAAATTAAGGAAAATGAAATCATTTAAAATACACAAGGGATGCTTGCTATTAAAGGAATCCCGTGCATCAACCTTTTGGAAATGGATAATTCCATGAATTATCTGTTCCTTCTTCATATCACCTTTCCCTGGTCTGTGAGTTTACATGTTGGCTTCTGCTGGGAATTCTGCTAAAGAGGACACCAAGGAAGAGAAGCCATTCTTTGCCCATCCCCTTGGGGTGGAACACAGAAGTGGTAGTAATTGAAGCAGTGAGTCCTGAAGCGAGCAGAGATAAGGAATGATGATTATTATCATATCTGATTAAAGTAACAAGATCATTTTGGCAGATAGAATGTAATGAACCACTTTGGAATGTGTCCAAGTGATGATGGCTTCCCCACCCCACCCCCCATTCTTTGACTTTAAATTAAATCTTGCTGGGATTTCTCCCTGGATGATATTTAATAGGTTAAAGTCCCGGTGATGATATGTTTTCAGTGTCTTTGAGAAGATTAAACACACAAGCAGGAGGTGAAGAGTTACGCATCTCTGTGGTGAAAATAGTGTAGAATTGAGATCAGATTCCCTTTATACCACAGTTTGGCACCCGTTGTCTGCTTTAGAAGCGTTAGATGTTCTAATGACATCTGAGAGGTGGCATGGGACAGGATGGTGTCTGGGGGCCCCAGGGTTAGTGCTGGCTCTAGGCTGACCCCTAGCACAGGGAGCTCAGTGTTGCTCATTTGTGATAAAAACAGGATTGGACGAGGCAGTCAAGGAGGTTCCTTCCTGCTCTGACTTAAGAGCAGCTGCTGAGGAACATGGAGGTGTGAACAGTTAGCAGAGGCCTGGAAGCAGGGATACAGACCCAGGGGATGGGTTAGCCTGGTGATGGGTATTAAAGAGGGCACATTCTGCGTGGAGCACTGGGTGTTATGCACAAACAATGAATCATGGATCACTGCATCAAAAACTAATGATGTACTGTATGGTGACTAACATAACATAATAAAATAAAATTAAAAAAAAAAAAAAAAGACCCAGAGGAGGCTGGCCTGTTCTCAGAGATCTTTCCCTTTGTGATGCAAGCACACAGTCTCCACAAAGTGGCCCCTTGAAAAGCGAACAAGTTATTTCTTCAACCGTATGTGGGTATTGAGCAAATTAGGTATAGTCAGTTACGGAGTATTTGGCTGTCGTAATTTGAAGAACATTCACGATTTACTAACCTGCTTATGATACATTCAAGTTTAAAAGTAATTTTCAGAATTATGTGTGTAGTGTGATTATAAGAAAGCCAAAAAACTAAACTAACACAAAAAGCTAAAAAACCCCTGAGGACTGTAACAAGTCAGCCAAATGCTATTGGTGGTTGTGTAAGAGTTAGAGAATTCTCATTAATGTTAATGTTTTCCAAATTTTGTCGTGTGATTAGAATACCATTAAAAGTGGGGGGGGAACATCAGGCTCAGGAAGGAGTCTGGTAAAGTTTCTCTCTCCCTCTCCTTCTGCCCTTCCCCATGCTCTCTCTCTCTCTCAAATTTATAAATAAACCTTTTTTAAAAAAGTAAAAAAAAATGGGGGGGAGAGAAGAGCAAGATTGTATGGAAAAGAAAAAGAATGTATAAAAACCAACAGAAAGGAAATTTGGTGTGAAGAGGCTTAGAGCCCTTCTCCCATAGACTTCACCAGAAGCCTATTTGTGATCAGTGTGCAAAGTAATTTGTTTTCAGTCACTTCTGAACTGAATTTGAGGCTCTGAATAATTTTAATCAGAAGAGTCAAGGTGGAAGAGGGCATAGTACCTTTTGTGTCCGTGTTTCCCCACAACTGTACGTATTTCTCCGTTAGAGCCCTGTTGTGTTATTTCTAGCATCACATGCTGGCCCCTCTTGAGAGCTCTTTGGGGGCAGAAATTGCAGAGATGTTCAAATAACTGTTTGTTGAATTGGAATCCTAAATGGTTTGATTACCAAGAGCCTTTTTTCTATCCGAAAGCCAGAGAAGCGTCCCTCAAATGTGTGCTATTGGTGAACGGCAAGTGGCAAGAGAGAAAATTCATATACTTGAGCACTTTCTCTCATTTAAGCAATCCTCCAGACTGCTAGAAATTAGTGAAAACATTTCTCGTGTTTGCCTATGGAATCTGTTCTCCCATCCACATTAAATGGGATGTGTTTGGCCGGGATCCCTTCATTGATTATCTCTTCTGCTCACCAAGGCAGACAGAGCTTAACCATCATAACATGGCCTTTGAAATTTTATGGGAATGATGCATCAAGTTTAGTTCCAACGAACCAATTTAGTTCTGTTAAATTAGTGCTGTAGAGCCTTGTAGAACATTTTTGTCATCCACAATTGGCCTTGATTTAGAGTGGTTTCTCTTTTACTCCTCTAGCACGTGTGGGCAATAGCTGTGTTTTGCTCATGGGTAATACAGGACTGCACCTATAAGCAGAGGACATTCATTCGCTTTGCTCTGCACTGAAAATGGAGTAGAGAAATAATGCTGCAGGCCTCAAGGTTCAGCTATTTACAAGCAGCTGGATAGGCGGGGGAAAAATTGCTGAGGAAGTCTTGGAATTTGCGTTAACCTGAACCTCAGAACAGTGCTAGAGGTCAGAAGACATTAATACCTTATTGTGATATTTCATCCCAAGAATCTTTATATTTTAACAGTGGCCTCTTTTCCCTTAAAGGAGTTACATCACAGACGTGGGGGTTTGCATCCCCTACACTCATCTGAACCTGCTCTTGTGGGTAGCCTCTGGTGGCATACAATAGAGAAGGAAATAGTCACCTAAAATGTATGTAAGAAATTCAGAATGCCAAGTGGGAAGGAATCTTCAAGACCATCCATGATTCTTTGGTTTTAAAATGTTGTACTCAAAACTGAGGGAAGGAAGATTATCTGCTAATGACTGTCTAGTTTCTCAGCGTCAGATCAGGATAACCCTGTCTTCCGCTAATCAGTGATCTTTTCAGTAGGGCCTATTTCATCTGCCTAAGATTTGTGGAGGATCACTAAAAATACCTAGGAATCAAGTTGCAATGACCCAAAGAATGAGATACACAACAGTGTGAACAGTTTGATTATTTTATAGATTTCCTATTGAAGCCAAGGCACATAATAGCTAATAGAGGCTACTTGGAGAAAGAAATCCCACTGTTGGGGAGCCCAACACCACATAGCTTTTCAAATGAGAAGGTTCTACCCTATTTCTAACCTGAATTCTTCATGCTGACATTTCAGCCTTATTCCTTCTGTACCTTCTCTAGTCGATAGTTCCTAATAATGAAGTTGGTCTATTGATTTGCTGCAAGTGAGTCCATAATTGTGGCCTGTTTTGTTTGCTAGTGTGAATTAAAGATTTTAGTGAAAATCTTTGAGATTGTTAAAGAGAAGAAGATTAACTTGTTCCGCCTAGAGGATTCTCCGGGTTTTCCTGTAGGTAGGAACTCTAAGCTCTTGAGCATGTAATGGATGCTTTAAAATGAAGAACTATGACATTGAACATTGAATGCTCTTTATGTTTTATGGATGTTTTCCACCTACATTCTCAGGCCCTTAGGATTGCATACTTTTACTTTAACAAGAAGCTGTTAGTGAAAATGTATTGGAAACCAGGCTAAGCAGCAGCAGGCTCTGGATATGTATATTTCAGGCTAATTGTTTCAACGATATGTTTAGAGACTTTGTAGTTTTTATTTAGAGCTTGTATATATCCTCCCAGTGCCTGAGAAGTAGGGCAGGCGCACAAAACCAAATTAATTCAAGTTCCAACCTGAGAAATATGTTCTTTCTGATTTTCCAGAATCTGTACCAAAATGTACTGTTATGAATATTCACATGGTCTCTGTACTTATTATTTGCATACAGATTTAGATCGAAAACTTCTTGTGAAAGGTCTGGGTTAACCCTGCACCCCTGAGATGAGGGGATGGAATTAAATACAGAGCAGTATATGGTGATCATGTTTGTAAATTTAGGATTATCAGAATTTATGGTGAATGGTAAAGAGAATTCTTTTATGAAATTCAGAACATGAACTCTTGTCTTTTAAATGTATTATTAATATTGGTCCTTTTGGTGCTCTGGGTCATATAAAAACATGGAGATTCTCTATTAAAAGTCAGCATGGAGTTGCCAATGAAGATAATTTAGCCTCTGATTTTTTTTTTTATTTCTTTTTTTTTTATAAAGATTTTATTTATTTATTTGACAGAGAGAGACACAGTGAAAGAGGGAACACAAGCAGGGGGAGTGGGGGAGGGAGAAGCAGGCTTCCCTGCTGAGCAGGGAAGCCCGATGCGGGGCTCGATCCCAGAACCCCGGGACCATGACCCGAGCCGAAGGCAGACGCTTAACGACTGAGCCACCCAGGCGCCCCTGATTTTTTTTATATACGTGGTATATCATGAATGTAAGAATCAGAAATATTGATTCCTTATCTTTCTTCTTTTTCAGCTACTCAGTGACTGTGCAAGAGTCATACCCACATCCCTTTGATCAAATCTACTACACCAGCTGCACTGACATTCTGAACTGGTTTAAATGCACACGGCACAGGTAATCGAAGCTCAGATATATTTATGAGTTTGGCTAACTGGGAAGTCCTTTAATGCAGAGACATTAAACATTTGAGAAGATGCATCCATTCATCTCATGAATAGTTACTGAGTGCTTGCTATCATCCTAGCCTTGTTCCAAACCATAGGAGATACGGAAGAGCAAAACTGCTGTCTGTGCCCTTGAGGAGCTTACAGAGAAAGGGTCTACTCGTTACCATCATTTGGTTAGCAAGAATTCATGCAACTTGTGTGTGGTGCATAAACTGGGGAGACGCTCTTGAATATGGACATCACTAGGTATCGAGAGACTCATATTCCAGCGTATGTTTCTACTTGAATATCTGACTCAATTTAGACTAACTTAATTTTTTTTTTTTTTTTTTTTTTAGAGTGAGAGAGCACATACACGCACGTGCACAGGGTCAGGGGTGGGGGCAGAGGGAAAAGGGAGAGGGAGAGAGAGAATCTTTTTTTTAATTATTATTTTTTATTTTTTTATTTTTTTAAAAGATTTTATTTATTTATTTATTTGACAGAGACACCGAGAGAGGGAACACAAGCAGGGGGAGTGGGAGAGGGAGAAACAGGCTTCCCGCTGTGCAGGGAACCCGATGCGGGGCTTGATCCCAGGACCCTAAGATATGTAAAGGTCACCAACTGAGCCACCCAGGCGCCCGGGAGAGAGAGAATCTTAAGCAGGCTCCACATCCAGTGCAGAGCCTGATGTGGGACTTGATCTCATGACCCCGAGATCATGACCTGAGCCGAAATCAAGTATTAACGGAGTTACCCAGGCACCCCTAGACTAACTTAAATTTGACCTCAACTTAAGACACATATTTTTTTTCCTATAAATGTGAAAACAGAAAAGAAAAATATCTTAAATATTAACGTTAATATGTAAGGGAACCTTGATACCTTACTTTTATTTGTAAAATATTTATAGTGGTGTGAGTGATGGGTCTAAATGTGACATCTGTTGATTTATGCTGCACTAAATGTTATGCTCAATATTATTTCTTCAGACAAGCTTTCATTGTCCACTCCATCTAATCAATAAACTGTCACACTCTCTTCCCTTACTCCGGCCTTATTTTTCATTGCAACATATAATCGTTACCAGTAATTATATGACATATTTATTCATTTAATGTGGATCTGTACTTAAATTCTATAGGTCTGTCTTCCCCAGTAGAATATACATTTCTTGAGGGCAAGGCTTTATATTGTTTTGCTCACTGTGAGTTGTTTTCCCAATGCTTAAAGTGGTGCCTGGAATATAGTAAGTGCTCAGTAAACATGTGTTGTATAAATCAATCAATCAATGAATGAAGCTTTAGTTAAATGAGGGTCATTTGTCTATATATAACCTATTTTATAGTGGGATGAGACTGTATTGTCATAGGTTTTTCAAGGAATTCTCTGAATTCTTCTTTTAAAACATGTAAGTAAATGATAATTAGATCAGTGTCATATCTGAAAACTTTTTAAAAGATTTTATTTATTTGAGAGAGACAGAATGAGAGCATGAGCAGGAGGAGGGGGAGTGGGAGAGGGAGAAGCAGAGGGAGCCCCCTCATATCTGAAATTAATTGATACTTCCCGAGGTATCTCAAGATAAGTGAAATAGGAAAGTCATGAAACTTCTGATCCCTTGCAATAAAGTACAGGTTGGCCTAAATGGGCAATTTTAATATATTCTTAAGCAAAGGGGCACCTGGGTGGCTCAGTTGTTAAGCGTCTGTCTTTGGCTCAGGTCATGATCCCAGGGTCCTCAAATCAAGCCCCGCATCGGGCTCCCTGCTCAGCGGGAAGCCTGCTTCTCCCTCTCCCATTTCCCCTGCTTGTGTTCCCCTCTCGCTGTGTTTCTCTCTGTCAAATAAATAAATAAAATCTTTAAAAAAAATAAACTACCCCTTTAAAAAATATACATATATATTTTCTTAAGCAAGAAGATAAGAGTTAGCATAATATTGTTCAAGACTGAAACAAATAATACATTATATATATAAAAAAAAGACATAGAGTCCATGTTCCTTCTCACCTATTTTAGAGTACTTTGCTTTTCATACCTTTATTAAATATAATAAAGGTATGAAAATAAAATAAATATCAAAATATAAATTCTTTATTTCTGATCAAATTGCCGGTCAAAAGAAGTAACAATGTGACTTTTCCTTCTGTGCAGAATCAGTTATCGGACAGCCTATCGGCATGGGGAGAAGACTATGTATAGGCGCAAATCCCAGTGTTGTCCTGGATTTTATGAAAGCAGGGAAATGTGTGTCCGTAAGTAAGACCTCCATCCCTTTGTGGGCCGCTTGTGTTTCCCAGCGCTGGTTTGCACGTGTGAATGGCAGCCGAGATGGAGGCCCAGGGAGGTGGGGCAGCTTGGACCATTCCCTGTCACCCTGGGCTGCTGCTTTCCTGGTCTGTGGAATGATGGAAGTGTTGCTCTGTCCCTGTGTCCTATCAAAAATCTCCACATGAATGTCACTTGAGGAGAAAACAGATGTTATAGAAGGATAATTTAAGGCCGGATGTGGCAGTGTTAATTACCGTTTTGCAATAAATGTCTCTTTGGAAACTGGTCAAGGAGTCACTAGACCCAGGTCACAGAAGAGAACAGAGGCAGGACTTTTCCGCCGCAGCTGACCAGAGTCCCGAGGCAGCCTCTGAGAGGCCAGTGTGTTCTTTCCTGGTGCACAGAAGGATGAGGCTTGCAAAACGCAAAGGAGTTTTCACACTGAGAAACCACTCTAAGCCTGGGTCACAAAGCACACCTTCTTTGTCACTTTCTGTCTCCCCTCCCCATCTCACCAATTCATTCTGAAATGTCTCAAGGGAAGTTGGATATTTTACAATTCACTTCGGAAAATTTTGGAGTATCATGTGCGATTAAGTTTGCAGTTGAGGTTTCTGACTACTGTGTTGAGGATGTAGAGAAGGGAGATCATTAAAAAGGGGGTGTATTCAACTATTTTGGCTCTACACACAGCTAAGAGGGGCAACATTGCTTTCCGAGCTGAGACACTGGTGTTGAGTAGCATCGAGAGAGACAAGGTTCTGCTCTAGACTGAAGGCATTAGAAATGACTGGACACACGCTGGCTTAAGTATCTGCAGGGCTGGGTAATAGCACTGGGTGACCTCGGAGAAGCCTTATACCTCTTTGAGTCTCCTTTGATCTCAAGTGGAGAAAGGACTTAAATGGATATAATGGATATTGTATGTGTCCTCTTCCAATGACTGGATTCTTTTTTTTTTTTTTAAATTTATTTATTTTAGAGAGAGCGAGAGATACCGGGGGGGAGGGGCAGAGGGAGAGAGAATCCTCAAGCAGACTCCCCGCTGAGCGTGGAGCCTAATGCAGGGCTCAACTCTGGGCTTGATCCCAGGACCCTGAGATAATGAGCCCAGCTGAAATCAAGAGTTGGCCCCTTAACTGGCTGAGCCACCCAGGAGCCCCTGGGTTCTATTCTTTATAGGAACAGGGGGCAGTTCCTCGACTTTGATTCAGAACTAGGGCTATATGTAGTAATAAATGTTCGTTGAAAAAATTAGAAAATGTAACAAAAGAAAAGGACACGAAAGAAAAGAAAGGAAAAGAAAAGCAAAATACAGTGTGAATATCTTTCCTGGTTAGTAAATGTACTTTTGTAACATACTACAAATGTAAGTGTGTTGTTGCATTATAGATATTTAACAAATTTCAGCTGTTGAATATATACGTGATTTCCATGTTTTACCTATTATGAACTGCTGTAGAAGACATCATTGTGGTTAAATCTTTGTTCATCCCCTTAATTAGTAGGTAAGGATAAATTCCTGGAAGTAAAATTGTTGGGTCAGAGGTTTACACGTATTTTTCAGATGTTTGATGTGTTTCCACTCTATGCTCCCACCTGCAGTATGTGGGAATGCTTTTTTGCTTATACCCTGTGCCAATTTTCCCTTTACTAATTTTTTTCTTAATTTGAATGTCTTTGATTAATAAGGATGCCAAATAAGAAAAATTACATGTTTATAATCAAACATCTTAGAGGATAATCACCAACTGATCTCTGTGGCCCAGGCTGATGGGAATTTTCCAAGGAAAGCCCTGAGTGCACACAGGGGCAGAGGGGTGGGGGTGGACCCCGGCTGTCTGGGCCAGCCACTTCCCAGAAGCTTCAGGGTAACATTATCTTGGTGACCATGCTAGGGAGGGCTCACACTTACAGGAACAATGGTCAGTACGGTAAGGGAGTGGTGTTATCTCCCAAGGTTCATTTCTATTACCCAAGTGACAGAAATTATATATAAAGTCACGATGCTATTTCATGAGGTGACACAGAGCCTGGAGGGCTATCTTCTGGTCATACCTTCTCTCCTTGAAGGCCTTGCACATGGGAAGCTAGATTTTACCGGCAAGCTGGTGTGAGGACTGTGGATCCAAGCAGGGTCAGTCGGTGTTTAGTGCTTCATGGTCCCAGCCTTCCAGAACCCAGCACCTCTGTCATTTCATTCAGTACTGCGGCCCATCTCAGGATGCTGGGCAATCCCACGACCCCATCATACCTGAATATTATAATGGGAAAAATAACTTTGCCTTGATTTTACGCTAGACAGGTTGCAAGTTGTCCCCCTGACTTCTTGGATGGGTATCTCTAGCATTTGCCTCTAAAATTCTCCTTTTTCTAAGCCTTCCATCTGACCAACTGCCCTTAGAGACTGAAACATTTTTCCTTTAGATATGTTAATAGATTTAATCAGCTCTCTGTCTGGTCTCAGAGGCCTGGGAGCTATTTGGTCTCTTTAAGGGTATTTTGCATCTCTCCACTCTGATGTGTTGATTTCATAGCTTAACCCCAGAGAACAATCAAGCTTCCCTTACTTCCTTGTTCTTGAGATGCCTCCAAGTCAATCTTCTCTGCCCTCCCCAGCCGGCACCAGTGAGGCACCCCTGTGGATAGGGAAGGAAGAGAGAACACGTGATTCTTGGTTCTGCTTTCAGAATCTCTTTTTTCAATTAGGTTTTGCTGCCAGGCACCTAGCATAGTCACCATTGTTAACTGTTTCCAGTTACCAGAAGAAATGGAAACACAGGAATCGGTTATAATTTTAGTTTAATTTTTGGTAGTGAGTTTTCCTAGAAGGCAAAAAAGGGCGATTTCATGCACATACATACCTGTATTTGAAAAAAAGTTCCCTTCAGGTAGCTGGAGTAGCTCCTTCTGCAGAGCAAGCTCCATCCTCCCATCTCCACCTACCCCTGCTTCATCCTGCCAATGATGATGCATTTCTCCTAGACTCAGACTGTGCAGAAGCTGCTGGTCCGTAGAGCACAAGCTGAGTGGCCAGGCTCTATGTCCAGAAGACAGATTATGTCATCAGACAGGAAGAACCAAAACGGAAAATACAGGGTATGGCATTGGAATCTGGGTAGGGAAAAAAAGAATGGTTGGAAAATTTTCCATAAGGAAAATATTATTAGACCTGAAGATGTCTATGATTTCTTGATGAGGTTTTCACCTGTTCCTAAAAATAATTAAACTTTTACATTTATTCATCTTTCAGGGTTACTATTCTTGCCTAATCTTGTGTCTAATTACTTTTGATTTGGAGAAATTAAAATATTAATGAAGAAACGCCCGGAGGAATGAAATGGATTTTGTGTGTGTGTTTGTACATTTGTATGTGTATACATGATTTTTTTGTTAGTTATTAACATTTTTTTTTCATTTGAGTATAGTTGACACACAGTGTTATGTTACTTTCAGGGGTGATTCACATAGTGATTCAACTTCTCTATATGTAATGCTCTGCTCACCACAAGCATAGCCACCATCTGTCACCATAGAATGCTATTCTGGTATCATTGGCTACATTTCCTATGCTGCGCCTTTTGTTCCTGTGACTGATTCATTCCATAACTGGCAGCCTGTGTGTCTCTCTCCCCTTTGCCGCTTTGCCTGTCTTTCCCCCCACTTCCCTTTGGCAACCATCAGTTTGTTCTCGGTATTTATAGGTCTAATTCTGCTTTTTTGTTGTTTACTCACTCATTTTGTTTTTTAGATACCACACGTGAGTGAAATCACATGGCATTTGTCTTTCTCTGTCTGACTTATTTCACTGAGCGTAGTACTCTGGAGGGCCATCCATGTTGTCATAAATGGCAAAATCTCATCCTTTCCTTTGGCTGTATGATATTCCATTGTGTGTGTGTGTGTGTGTGTGCACGTGTACACACACATGCACGCGCACATCTTCTTTATCCATTCTTTTTGTTAAGATTTCATTCTTTTTATGGCTCAGTAATATTCCATTGTGTACATATACCACATTTCTTTTATCCACTTATCCATCGGTGGATACTAGGTTGTTTCTGTCTCTTGGCTTTTATAAAATATGCTGCTATATACATGGGGATGTAGATACCTTTACGAGGTAATGTTTTTGTTGCCTTCAGATAAATACCCAGAAGTGGAATTGCTGAATCATATGGTAGTTCTATTTTTAATTTTGTGAGGAACCTCCATGCTGTTTTTCCTAGTGCCTGTACCAGCTTGCATTCCCACCAACAGTACACTGGCTTCCCTTTTCTCCACATCCTTGCCAACACTTGTTATTTCTTGTCTTTTGGATAATAGCTGTTTTAACAGGTGGAGATGATATCTTTTTGTGGTTTTGATATGTGTTTCCCTACTGATTAGTGATGATGAGCGCTTTTTCGTATACCTATTGGCCATCTGTATGTCTTCTTTGGAAAAATGTCTATTCAGATCCTCTGCCCACTTTTTAATTAGATTTTTTTTTTGCTATTGAGTTGTATGAGTTTTTTATATACTTGGGATATTAACCCCTTATCAGATATGTGATTTGCAATGATTTGCAAATGTTTTCTTTTATATTGGTAGGTTGCTTTTCATTTTCTTGATGATTTCCTTTATAGTGCAGAGGCTTTTTAGTTTGATGGAGTCCCACTTGTTTATTTTAATTTTTGTTGCCTTTGTTTTTGGTGTCATAGCCGTAAACTTATCACTAAGATTGATGTTAAGAAGCTTACTGCCTATGTTTTCCTCGGGGAGTTTTATGCTTTCAGGTCTTGTGGTCAAGTCTTTAATCCATTTTGAGTTCGTTTTTGTGTGTGGTAAAAGACAGTTGTCTAGTTTCATTCTTTTGCATGTGACTGTCCAGTGTTCCCAACACTGTTTATTGAAGACAATGTCTTTTCCTCATTGTACATTTGTGGCTCCTTTGTCATAAATTAATTGACCGTGTATGCCTGGGTTTATTTCTGGGCGCTCT